CTGTGCTCGCCATGAGCTGGGTGTCTGGGCTATCATGACGGTGTTGGTGTCAACATCGCGGCGATCTCGTCTATTGTATGCTGCATGCCCAATGGCAAGTGCATTCACATTAGTGCAGACGCGCGCGTGTGACAAAGACTCTCAGCTCAATAGGGCTTTAGCGCACGGTAAGTGAAGCATCGAGTGCCCTTTGGCGCACGCGCGGGTTCCACCCCTGGTCCTGTCAAAGTCATGAACAGTGACTTCCAGACGGATAGACGCTCAACATGGTCCGACCTCGGGTTAGTGGCAGGCATGAACAAGGGGTAGGGGCAGGTACACTGGATCGCTGAGAAGTCACTCTCCTCTGGGTTGCGCCTGCTAGCCTGGAGCTAACGACCCGACAGTTTGGTTACCCCCAGTCATCTGTGGGGCAATGTAGCGATAAGTAGGGTATATGAGTGGCTCACCTACGATAGTGCGAGTAAAGGCGGGGCCATAGGTGGGACCAGCGTTCTGCGAAATAGACTCGCTCGTCCTCATCCCGCCTTCCTCGCTCTTTCTCCCATCCCGGACGCGGACCTTCAGACTTCTGGCTCCCATTTCTCTCTCCTTTTCTCCTTCTCCATCCACCCCCTTCCTTTTTCTTCCCTGCCCGTCCTTTCCCAGTTCAGTGAAGGGGGAGAGGGCAATGCAACCCCTCCTCAAGCTTGAGGACCAGCTCCAGTACCAGTCCTGGTCCCAGCTGTAGCTATAGCTACGGCGACTCCAGCTCCAGCTCCAGTACATACACTTGCCCACACACACACATACCTGTCATGTGTGTCATTTGACAGACAATCGCTTCCTTGATCAATCATATGTCTCACCGAGTCGCCTGCAACCGCGTCAATCGCCCTTCCCTGGAGCGTCTGGAGCGTTAGTGGTTGGCTCCAAGCCAGCAGCCACCACGGATTCGTACACGTCAACCCAACGTCTTTGCCTCTTGGGGCCGCGGCATTCACGGCATCTAGCACATCAGAGACCTGACATGTCCGGCTCTTGTCACGCAAAGTTGGGCGCATCGAGTGTAGCGCCATCTCCGATCAAAATGCGGAGGATTTACGGCCTCAGATCCGCGCTCGCGCTCCCATCTGCCCAAAGACTCGACGGAGCGAAACCTCAGACCGCCCACGCCCTCTCATCTCCCTTGTTTTGTCCCCCATCTGCAGA